TCATGGCTTTTATCCCGAGGGCTCACGGGATTGGGCACGTCTTCCCAAAGAATGACTAGCGGTGTTGTATGGAGCTGAGAGTCTGAGGTCAGTCGCTGCTGGAGGCTCGATTTTACGAATGGCAATTTGCCTCTGGCTCCCCTATAGCGTGGCACGTATACCGTAATAAGGGTCCTTGTTATTATCACCATCTGTGCCTTGCAGAGAAGCCTTCCATTGCTGTTCGATCTTTCCGATCCCCTTAACTACCCCATCCAATCAGGTTCCCCAGTAAAGGCCTGAATTGGTTATTTGCAACCCACAGAGTGGCACAGAGTGGTAAGTCTTGGCTTCAATTACCGCCGGCAATTCGTGCTGCCGTTTTCATCTGTAATCCAACTCGACTCAATCAACATCATCTCTTCTCATTTTTCCCTTCTGCATTCAAACAGAAAATGGACAAGGATTTACCGTTTGGACTGCTAGATTGTGCCGAATGGTGGTGACGGTGGTGAGCCAAACGCTCCCCTCCCTTTCATGTCCAGGGGTCCCCCCGTGAGAGAGAACACCAGCTCCAGCCTCCAGAGACGGGGTGAGGCCAGCGCGGGTCCATCGGGCACGCTATCCAGACCGTGGTAAGTTAGCCAAGCTAGCCATGCCCTGGCCTCGGGGAGCAAGAAAACACAGGACCTTCATATAGAGTGCCAAAATAAACCCAGTAAAAGATATCCTAAACTTAGTGTAGATATTTTAAGTTTATGTAAAGTTACCTAAGTCTTTTTGTCATTTATTAGGATCAAGGTCTCGAGTTTTCTTTCCTCCCCTAGCCTGGCTTCTGGGAAGAATGAGATGGGAGAGGAAAAAAAGAAATGGACCCCTGCAGTAGAGGATCTGCTCCCCGCTGCTCCCTCTACGCTGAACAAGCAGGGCGCTGAAGACTGTTGAGGCCGCTGAAGATGTCTTAAAGTCCGCTGTAATAACCAGGGCTCGTGTTGTTCTATTGGACGGACAGGTCCTGCTTCATTCAGCTACTGCAGCGCATTGTCTGAGCGCAGGCCGTCCAACGGTCAAGGTTCATCAGTTATTGAAGCTTGAGCTTTGATGAAGTGGCGGTGCATGGCGGAAAGGAAGCAAGAAGCAGAAGAAGAAGACAAGAGAAGGAAAAAGGATCCAGGAACAAGAAGCCAGAAGCAGCACAAGAACTCATCCCATACCAAGACTGGTTAATCAGGGGATCTAGCCAATCCAATCGTGGCAGTCCAACTTTGCTTCTTCTCAGATCCGGCGACGATCTCCTTCCTCTTGTCGTTCATCGCCCCTTGTTTAACATTAGATCCTTGCAGAAGTTCTCATCAACTAGAAGAGGAAGCCTGGAAGAACAAGGGAATTAACTTTCTGCAGGTACAATTGAGTTCAAAGCTTGATTCACATGTTAACTCAAAGCCGAAGACCGTCCCATAAGGTGAAGTTTTTTTGGCTTGTGAGCTCCGAGCTCCCCCTGTGCTTGTGTGTTCAACCTGAAGCGTTCGGTTGGTGGTGGGAGCGGAAGCGATGGAAGGGATGGCTTGCATATCCTATGACGGAGCACCCAGGGAGGGATGTAATTGAATTCACTAGCGAGGTCCGTGGCACTGACTGGTGGATATTTGCTTGACGAGATGCTTGCGTGCTCATGTTATGGATGGAGGAGGCCTTGCTTGGCCTAGCTATCACGAGGTCCCCCAGATCTTCCTCTTGGGGGGTTGATCAACGCAGCTGTCAATCTCGGCTGGGTTGTAAGGATATTATGATTGAGTAATTGTCAATCCACACGTTCGGGTTCCAGCTCACCACCAGATGATGTCCATCTTCAAACCTTGTGATATTGAACGTTATCAGATGATTCAGGCCGTGCGCCTTTGACAGTTTGGTTTCACGAATGTTCCAAACGCATTCCACATAGAGTAAATAGCTACCATATTTATCCTCCTAGCTGTTCTAGCTCTTGGTTCATGCTTCCACATGTTTGCCTTGAGTTCGGCTCCCGAAATACAAAGACACATCGGCGCGCCGTGCTTCACATAGTGCGGCACGGGAATGTCATCCGGAGCCTCACAGCCTCCCCTTTTCACGTTTACGATAGAACATCTCTGTGGAGTTTTTTGTTTTTTTAATGTTTATATCATCCCTTTGATATCTCCATAGCAATATATTTCAACTGTAGATCTCTTTGCACGATACTACCTCATCTAGGTCCATGCTTCTCGGTTCCGCGTCAGCGGAGATGGCGGCTGCAGTCTACTAATGAAAATCCTCGTCTTGCTCAGCTCAAAGTTGAGCATAATCAATCGCCAGCGATTAATTGTACGTGGCCTAGCTTAGCTGAGTCAAGGGATTTTCTCAATCCTTGGTGTCAATCAGCCGAATCTCGTCGGGTATGTAACGCATCTACGCCGCCGCCTCTATTCGATGTAACAAAAACAGTGGACAAACCTCAAGGAAACAAGACCAACAAGACCAACAAGACCCCATTGTCTATCAGAGACTGGAATCTTGGCCGGTTTATTGCCCGCTAGAAACACAACCAACACCAGCGCTAAATTAACGACGGAGGCTTTACCAGGAGCTTCTCCCTTTTTTCTTTCTCTGCCACTGAAAGCTAAGCTATCGCGAGCTTCTTCTTCGTATCCCAAGCTTTTTTGCCCCTGGGCTTGCAGCACAACATGACTCGTTTTTCTGACTTCTCACAACATTGCCGGCGTCATACCGGAAATTTCCCTAGCGGTGGAGGCGGTCTTGTCCATCGTGATTTATCACAATGCAATGGGCTTCATATTTCATTTGATGACCAAACGTAATCATCAGCCTCCCAGCAAAGCACAGTTATCAATTAGCCTGTCGCCTGTCATGATGCTGGTAACGGTAAGGCAGAGTGCCAGGGTGTTGTATCCCAGGCTCCCTCGTGGTTCGTCTACAAAGATTCACAGTCCGTTCATTCGTTCTCTACTCCGTACCTTGGACAAGACTACGTGATGCCCTTCGTTCGTTCTTTTCGCTAGACCTGATGTGGTGGACAACAGTTCGTCCACCCAAATGCCACTTTCAGCCACCCCATGCTGTAAACCCGCAGCTAGCGACTCATGCAGGCCAAGACTATTGACTGAGCAATCAAAAGCCGGGGCATACTATTCTGTCTTGATATTGATTATCGTTCGATTCTGTATATTGCCAATAAATCATTAAATGAGGTGTGATACGAACGCATTTCACGATTCTTCGGCCTCCGTTTGTTCTCCATTCAACTTCTGACGTCTATCCCCATCGTCATCATCAAGCGATATCCCATATCGGGCCCTACCGCTCCGAATAGACCGGCCCCTGAAACCGCGGGAGCAGCAAGGACCTTGTTTCCTTCGGCCAACTCCTGCTGTTAACAAACGGTCTGCCCGAATAAATAGGCAGATCGTCTGATTACTTTTCTTATTCTGGTTGGGTTTCAGGTTTATAACTGTTGCCTTTTTGCCTCTTCTCTCGCTGCCTTGTCCTTGTGAGCAAGAAATCGATATATCACATGAAACAGCATCCTGGTGTTTGATAGCTCCAGTGTTTTCCTATTTTTGCTTTTTAGGCTATCTGTGCTTCGAATGAATAATCGGAGCTGCGAGATTCCTTGATTAATTACTGCCCCGTCCTTGCATTGAGCCTACATACTGCTGTGGAAAGGATCTGTGATATTCGGATATATGGGATCCCGAGATAAATGGAGCTGGTTGAGGTTGCATCAAACAAAGCTGACATCTGGATGGGGTCATATAAATTGCTTTTTTGTTTCTATGCTGCGTCAATTGCAACGTCTCTCCACATGTTGGAGCCAACTGTTCACTGTTTGTGAGGTATCAAATGCTGTCAAATGCCGAATTATCTATCCGCTCGTTGAGTCCGTTTACAGGCTACACTTCGCCCTTATACAGCCAATGGAACACTTGCATGCATTCACCTTTCTTATTCCATGGAGTTGGGTATGTAGTATTGGAATAATGTTTGGTTTCGTTTATGCGTCAACCAGTTTCGTCCCATGTTTGCTTTTTTGCAATGGGTCGATTTGATCTTCGCTTGCCTTTTCGCAAAAACAGCCTGTTCTTGATAGCGATACTCTCACTCCTTCGAGACAGTCTGTGGCAACAAATGATAGGATGCGATCCAGTGAAGAATCGATGTGGTTAGTTGTGTGATCCGTAAACTCAGCTGCTCGTCGGGTGTTTCGAGACTACGCTGAGGTGCAGGGTAGGCTCAAAGGGCCAGGCTGGAAAATCGCATCGCAAATTTAAGGCGTTTTTACCAGTGCATTCATTTCCATTACTCTTCATTTTGATATTTTAAATGTTATGGGTGTTTTGAAATATTTTATGAATGTATTGATGCTAAAAGACTGTTCTAGCTCAATAATCATGAACTCTGTTTCGCTAGGTGTAGTCATTTCTCGATGTTAGGCTAAAGGTAGGGACAAAGAATGCAAATGTATGATTGAGAAGACTATTACAAGGAAAACAGTTCATCAACTTAACGTTGATTATAATGCAAAGACACAAAGTCCCCTGAGTTTTCCAAACCACCTTAACCACTGTCCTGATGTCGATTTGAGTAGCTTGATGGATAACTACCTACACTATATCGACAAGCGGCCAAAAGGAGACCTGATAGAGTTACTCTAAAGAACATGGATTGTTCAGACCTAATTGATCTTCTTTGAATAGCCAGGATATCTTGCATATGGCTAGTTGCGGCTCTTGAAAAGGCTTCAATTGTATAAACATGGACATCCCCTAAGATCGACAATTTGAAGACCAGAGGGATGTCGTACGGACAGAAGCCTCAGGATTGGATCACATTGCCCAAGGACAAAGGCAGTTCAACTACAAAATCACATCGCCGACTGAAGACAGAAAATAACTTAAATGAACATGTATTTGGAGTATTACTGCCAGATATATCCTAGATGACTACCACGATATCTGTACAGTTTCGAGCTATATCGTTCCCGATTACCACATACGCTCCCAGCACCTCTTCCAGAAAGGCATAGCAGCAAGTTCACGCTTATAGTTCTCTTCAATACCGCCCTCCTCCCAGTGCTTGCACTCCTCGTCAACCTCCTTCTTGCCACTGACAAGATCGGCTGTCTCAGGGTTGACAAACTTAGTCTTTTTGAGGACCTTCCAAACAATGAACAGAACAGCAGCATAAGCGTGACAGAAGTAGCTGGTGACGAAACCCTGAGTGCTCCAAGGCTCGAACTTGTCGAAACCGATGAAGATTAGGGCAGTGACACCGAGGAAGAGACCGACGTAGGCAGCCCAAGGGTTGAAAGGAGCGATGTAGTGCAGGACAGACTTGTCCATACCCTGAGCATTGCGAGCGCGGAACCAACCGATGAAGACAACGATCATCATGGTGTAGGTGGCGATGAGACCGGTGGTGGTGAGGTCGACGAACCAGAAGAAAACGGTAACAGAGGATTCGCCAGCGACGAGGAAGGTGATGCAGCTGATGACGCTGACGGTGAGGACACAGTACATTGGGACACCAGCCTTGTTACACTTCATGAGGAAAGCAGGGGCCTGGCCATCGCGAGCAAGACCGTAGAGGGTTCGAGAAGAGGAGTAGAGGTAGGCGTTTCCGCAAGAGAGACCGGAAGTGAGGATGAGGAAGTTGATCAAGCTGGGGAGGCCGTGGATACCAAGATTCTCAACTATTTGTTTGTTAGTATTGTGTTTATGTGTTCAAGAAGAAAGTATGACTTACTGCCAATGACCCAGGGAGAAGCGGCAGCACCAGCGGCGCTGTTCTCAATAGCACCGAGCAGACGCTTGTCATCAGAAGAGCAGATGATACCAACAGCCAATACACCAAAGACGTAGAAACCAACAAGTCGGTAGAAGATAAGCTTGGCGACTCGGGGAATAGTTCGTCGAGGGTTGGCGATCTCACCGGAGGATAGAGAGATCATATCGGGACCAGCAATGGTGAAACCAGCATAGAGGACAACCTTCCACCAGCCGCAGAATTTACCAAGATCTCCCTCGGCGTGGTAGGGTTGCATAGCCTTGCCGCCCTTCCAGTATCGGAATCCGTATGCGTCGCCCTTGGGGTTGCCACCGCACATGGTGATGAGAGTGATGAAGAGGAGACCGAAGAGGAGGATAACCTTGAGAGAAGCCATGATGAATTCAGCCTCACCATAGTACCTAGAACGTTTGTTAGAGCTGTCGCTGAGTGAAGTTTTGTCATTTGTACTTACTTGACAGCAACAACGTTGAGCAGAACGCAAATGACCATTGCCATCGCAACCCAAGCTGCAGGATTGATATCAGGAACCCAATATTGCATCAGTGTCGCTACAGCACTGTATTCGACACAAACAAGCATAAGACCGGCGTAGAAATATGTCCATCCCATAGCAAATCCTATTCCACATTAGCTGGAATTCTGTATTAATCGTATGCAAAACGTACCAAGTGCAGGGTCGACGAAACGGGCAGCAAGCTCAAAGATGGAACCACGGATAGGGAGGTAAGAGCACATCTCGGCAACACACAAGTTGCAAGGCCAGACGAAGAAGACACCCCAGATCAAGTAACCGAGAACGACAGAGAGAGGACCAGCCTTGGAGAGGACACCACCGATACCAACGAAGAGACCGGTACCGATGGAGCCACCGATGGCCATTAGCTGAACATGTCGAGGGGAGAGACCTCGTACGGTTCGGCCATATTCTCTGTCGACGGAGTTGTGATCGATCAAGACACCAGGTGAAGTGTCTGAAACGTTGGGAGCCTCGACGGCTTTTGACTCGGGGTCTTCTTGATAACCCATGATGAAGGGTAGTTTAACAAAGACGAGATCAGTCTTGAATACTCAATCTCTTACAAGAGTAGGACTCTTAGTGGAATGGAGATGAGGTTATGGGAGCAATGTCGTGGAGACACAAGCCTGGATATAAGAACGTCTAGGGAGGGGGGACGATCGCCCTTTAAGAATCAAGTTGACTGTAACCATGATCAAGATTATGGATCATGACAACCGGCCCGGTTTTCTGTAAGAGGAGCTCATCATGTCGATTAACATGACAAGGAGGTAGAGCTATGGCATTCCCAATAACAGAAAGCTCAAGTTCCCCGATGTTGGACGTACGGAGGTGAGAAGGTATGCAGCGCTAGGCCAAGCTCTCCACCGCGGTAACGGATATGCTTTTAGGTACAGGGGCATGATAAGCAATGCATTCAACGGCGTGTCAAACACTGCTGATCATCCAAAAGCTGTAGAGAGGTGAGATCGAGTTCACCTCAACCGGGCCGGTTGTATCGTCTCAAAATGGTAAGTACGGGCGACAGAGTGCCATTATGTGGGGGAATAGCAGAGGAGCCATGACTCGGCCTTTTCCAGCGACTGTGTGTGTAGTGTAGGATTTCCGTGTAAGTGATGGCTTGAGGGAGGATTTCCGTGGTGTTTGGGGGAGCGCTAGAGGTGCTGCCAAGACAGGCGAGGCCAGGTTTAGCGAGAATTGGGGACCGATCCTTGTCTCTTTGGTATGGGGACTGTGGACAACGGTTATCAGAGTGGTTGTGGTCCGTGGATGGGAGTAGAGAGATAGGCAGTTTCGCGGCGTGGCCAAGACGGGACAAGAAGGGGGAGTCCACCGCGGTTAAAGCTTGGTTGATAGATGGCAATGAGGACTCTGTGAGCTGATCATATGAAAGAGAGTGGTGTTTGCAATGTGTATGTGTAAGTTGAAGAGAAAGTCGCTCAATACTAACTAGTCCTCCCTGAGAAGCCACGATCATCAAACACAATCGGACTATCCGTTCAGTGACATTAGGCTCCCTTTCTCCCATTACAGAGCCAACCTCTCGAGCTTGGCTCAGTCCCAACGGCTATACCGAGTACCGTTACCCCGAGATCATCAGAACATCTCCAACAGCCCAGCTCCAGCGCGTTCCGAAGCAAACACTCCAACACGCGGCTCCGATGCAAGGTTCTTACCCCAGACAAGGTCAAGGTCAAGTTCCATCTCGTACGTAATGAAATACACCGGCTTTCGTACCGCATTTGCTCGGCATCGTGTGGGGAAAAGTTCATCATTAGGTGCGGTACTCGGTACCGAAAAAGCGGTTGCTTGCAGAACAAAGCAAAACTACCGCGCTAGACAAAGTCTCTTGTGCAGTGGCACGAGAACGAGAGGAGAAATGCGGGGGAAGATGGTAAGAAAACCTGCTGCGCGCAGTTCCTTTTTTTCTGTTTGAGTTATTAGCTTAGGTTAATTTTAAGCATGGGTTTAAGCGTGTATGATCCCGGTCTGGTCGGACTGTGGCCGATTTCATTGCGAGTCATTATTACGTGAGTGATATTGTGCCCAATTGATGTGACCCTTTTAAGTACAAACGAGAGAGGAGAATTGGAGAAAAGGAAAAGCTTGTCGATTGTAGTTTAGAGGGATATTCTGACCTGACCTGACCTGACTTGCTGCCCGTCCTAGATACAAACCCTGTACAGAAGATGGGTCTCTCAGAGTCTGTCTTCTTATCAGTAACACCCCTGACCACGCCTAATTTGGTTGGAGAAGGGCAACTCTGGCAGAGATAAGAGAATGGAGAATGCGGAATTGTTCTGTATGCAGTCTAGTTAGAGTGAGTCTAACGTCCACCAGACCCCAACTCAACCTCTGTATTTCTCCAAATCTACAGCACAAAATTTCTGCGAATGCCTTCACTCCAACTCATATCCAGCTACAGCATTTCCCCAGATCTGTCCATCTGTCAAGATCTCTGACTCCCCCGCAAGCTCCAGAAAACAAGGTGAAATCTCTCCAGATAAAAATCTGGAGAATCCTGAGTCCCGGGCTCGCGGGGCCCCACGAATATCGAGCCAGCGAAACGTAATGAAAACTTGGGCACCTCAATATCAAGTGGCATCACCGACGTGCCATCTATTTCTCTCAACGGACCAGCGGACAGCAACGAAACTGTGGGCACGGAACCACCCGGCCCCTCTTGTATCATTCTCATCTTCGACTCTACGATTGTCTCCATTTTCAGTATAAAGAGGCTGAAAAAAAGTCTCCTGCTCTCCCGGTTCCCAGCATCGGTACAACATCCCGGTTATTTACGTCCTCACGAACTACTGTAAGCCCCAGCGCCACAAGGCCAGTATAGAACCTTTTCTCATCCTCGTGAATGGGTAGAAATGTCTTCTAGAAAAGAATTGAGACAGCCAGGAACCGGCATCTGATCGAGCTAGGGGTGTTTATGTGTGTGTGTGGAGAACAAGTGCAATCCTTGTCACGATAACAAAACCTCAAGCCGAAATCGTAGCTGAAAATAAGCTTGAAAACAAACACATGAGCCGCCGGTAGTCGGGCATAGACTATTTCCTAGTCGTGTTCTCTTACCTATTTCTTCGAGTGAACCGGCCCGGTCGACGAGACTGATTTTTCGGCATCAGACGTCTTCGACATGACGATCCACCCCCAGATATCAGCTTCATCTTGGCGGTTGATGCCAAGATGATAGGCATAGTAACTCGTCTGATTACATCCGATGCTGAATCATGCATACGTATCTCAGTGTGATCCATCACTAACTTGCTATGAACAGACACTCTTATGATCAACTGATGCTCCCCAGCTGGAAAGAAGCATCAAAGAGACATGAGAGGTTGATGTGTATGCACCACGAACTTCACATAATGTACTCTGACCAAATTGCACAAACGTAACTTTTGATATTTTATTACCAGTTCACGCTTTCACGTCTTCCCAAACCTGTATCCCATACCCTGCCCTTTTCCTATCAAAAGAAACGCTCCGTATGCCTGAATAACGTAAACCAGTCTCCACAAGAGACTCAATCAATGTCAAATGACGCCTGCGCTCCAAGATATGTACCAATGCCAGGAACGTCAACATGATCACCATTACCCGATGCTAGCACTAGCCGACGCCTCCATTGACCCTACTCTACCATGCAGCACATGCATTTAATACCAATCAATGCCATGCAAGGATCTAAACTGCCACACCTATTCTGGACCCAATGCCCCGGAATCAGGGCTGGTCTCCATCGTTGAGTTGTGGCGTAGCCGTGGCCGTTTGAGTCTCAGCGGTCTAGGTGTGCTCTAAAGATACCGTGTCTTGAGCCACTCTTCGTCTCGCAGTCCTAGGTTCAACCCATTCTGTGTCCACCATCGTCGAACTGCGCTCTGATCTCCTATGCTGTCCTCAAGAGCCTCTTCGATGTTGCACGTCCGGAATTCTACCATCTGCTTTCGACCTTCCATACCCTCGAGCTCTCCGTGAGCAAAGTTACGCCACCACTCAAGCACCGCCAAGTGCTTGAATATGGTCGGTGAAACGAGAACCTCGGCGTCAAACACGAGCTTGTCATCTCCTTTCAGCCGTCTCCAGGTCTCCAAGACCTCGACTTGGCCCCAGCGGCTTGCCATCTTGGCGACGCTGTCACCATGAGCAGCAGGGATACCTGAGGCGTCCCACCACCGCAACACATCAGCTTGTCCATGCTGTGTTGCCCATAACAGTGACCGGCCCGGTCGTAGAACGACCTTGTCGTCCTGTGCTGCTGCATCGCGCCACCACTCGAGAACCAAGAGATGTCCATTTCCGCTAGCTTGCTCCAGCGCAGACTCTGTATAACGCATCATCAATCCAGACCGACGCCACCACCAATCTAAAACGCGAACATGCCCAAACTTGGAGGCACCATCGACAGCTTCTGCGTCATATACATGACGGTCTCTGAACCAAGCGCTCTGTTTCCAATAGTCCAGCACATCAGTGCGTGGATAATAAGCGGAGGCTTTAGTTGGTAACGTCGTTCCGTCAAATGCTTTAAAAAGATCAGGTCGGTTGGCTTCCATATACGCCAACACGTCAATTAGACCAAATTTGATCACTAGTTTAATGACCAGTGCTGATATATCGTTGAATTCTGGTGGAGATTGCGATATCTTTTTGCATATCGCCGCGGAGTTGCATGTCAGCACTGTCCACTCGAGCTCGTGCTCATACACCTTCAACGGATCGTTGCGGTCTCTGGGCTGACTTGTCCACGGTGAGGGCATCGGTAGGTTGGTGTACATTCCTAGAGCCTTCGCAAGTTCCCAGTCTCCTGCATAATCAAGGATTATGGTCCAAATCTCCGGCGGTAGCTTGGATTGGACTGTTACGTCCGCATTATCAGTTATTGCCATTGCGGTGGCGACTTCCACATCTCTTCCCAATCCTAGCAAGTCGGCCTGGTTCTTTATAATGCCCAGCACTTCGTTAAAACCATTCCAGTTGGGTACTCGTTTCGGGTTCGGCGATCCTTCGTAATGCCATAATATTGGCGTCACCACACGGATCCAATTCCATTTCCGATGCAATTTACTCATGTGCTTCTTGGTCATTGGGTTTGACCACATATGTGTGCTCATGCCGGGGACCAAGACAATGCTCTTTTGTGTATCCCATCCTCTAAGTACTTCGCCGAGGAATGTATCTGTAACGCCTGCCAGCATCTTTGCGATGCTGTCTGCATCAAGCGGCACGCAGACCATCAGATCTGCCCACTCTACTAGTTCGAATGCTTGTTGCCGATAGAATTCGATATCGTCGGCCCGATCGCCCGCTCCCATAGCCAATCCCCGGTTCTGCATAACAATTATCGTCTGTGTCAATCGCGGGACTACATCGTCGACGATCGCTCGCGCTTCGATCTGTGGATTTTTCGAGAGGCGCACGACGAGTGCTTGCGCCCAAGACGTATCGCGGGGTCCAGTGGCGGCGACGAGAAGGCGGAGTTTTCGGTTGCGGGCCATAT